ACAACAACAACAACAACAATATTCAATCTGTATGCTAAAAAGCAAATGATCAAAGAATCTGAATTATGTGAAGAAGACCATGGCATCAGGATTGGAGGAAGATTGTGATATACAGATGATACAATCCTGCTTGCTGAAAGTGAAGAGGATTTAAAATATTTACTGATGAAGATCAAAGACCACAGTCTTCAGTGCAGATTGCCCCTCAATGTAAAGAAAACAAAACTCCTCACCACTGGGCCAATAAACAGCATCAGGAAAAATGGAGAAAATATTGAAGTTTTGCAGGGGGATCAACACTCATGGAAGCAGCAGTCAAGAAATGAAATGATATATTGCTTTACGCAAATCGTCTGCACAAGACCTCTTTAAGATGTTGAAGAGTAAAGATGTCAGTTTGAGGACTAAGGTGCTCTTGATGCAACTCATGGAAATTTCAATAGCTTCCTATGTTTGTGATACTTGGACAGTGAAGAAGGAAGACCATAGAAGAATTGATGCATTTGAGTTATGGTGTTGTAGAAGAATACTGAAAGTACCATTGACTGCCAGAAGAACAAACAAATCTGTGTTGGAAGAAGTATAGCCAGAATGCTTCCGGTTGTAGTTGCTAAGTACTGTCAAATCAATTCCAACTCATAGCAACTCTGTATAGAGCTTCCAAGGAGCTCTGATGGAGCTGCTGACCTTGTGGTTCACAGTCCAGTGCTGATTCTGCTCCTTAGAAGACAGATATCGAGACTTTGTCTCCCAAACTTCAGACACATTATTATGAGGGACCAGTCTCTGAAGAAGGACATCATGCTAGGTAAAGTGGAGAGGGTCAGCAAAAAGGAGGAAGACCCCCAATGAGATGAGTTGACACAGTGGCAGTAGCAATGAGCACAAGCTTAACAATGATTGTGAGACTGATGCTGGACCAGGCAGTGTTTTGTTCTGTTGTTTATATGGTCTTTATGAGTCAGAACCGACTCAATGACACCTAACAACAACAGAACAAAGATTTACATTCTCAGAAACCCCTAGACTGGGTGGCTATGAGTCAGAACAAACTTTATGACACATAGAGCATTATTATTCCTATTTTATAGATTAGGAAACAGACGTATACAAAGATTAATAACTCAGCCAAAGTTATACAACTATTAAGGAGGAAAGCCTCCGACTTTAAAATAGATACAATACAAAATGGCTTAGATTGACTTACTCATTAAAAAAATGTTTTTTGGCCTGGTACAGTGTCTAGTTCATTGGAGGGTTTAACATTTATGGAATGCAATTCATTTAATTGTTTTATAGGTAAATCCTCAATGGAAAACACTGACTTCAGGATTTCCCAGTAAGTGAATAATGGATTATATATCACATATATACATATGTATGTGTATTTTGAACATATGTATATATATATATTTGTGCACATGTATAGTCTGTCTTAAAAGATTATGAGCACTGTATTCTAAGAGCCCAAAACGTAGACAGTTTCACAGTGTTTAGCCAGAGTCTCACTGCTCCCCCACTCCTGACACCTAGGGTAAACTGTGCAGACATTAGTAGTTCTATCCTAGTGGGACTCCCTTCATTATCACTCACAAGACATTAAAACAATGAATTCCATGTTACTTTCAATGAAAACATTTTAACTCATCCACCCAACATAATGTGGTTGATTTACACAATCACCTTACTAAGATTAGCAAAAGTATTTATTGATTACAAATATGTTTGGAGAAAATTTTTGGAATCACTTTAAGAATCACTGAAGTATCTAAGTATCCTGACGTTAACACACTTGTTTTGTCAAATAAATACTTTTCTCACCCTAAATTGCCTTTCACTGTTTTTAAAAACAAGTTCTTATCTTTAAAGATGAACATAAGCTAGCACCGGCATTACTGAAGAGTGTATACTACAATTATCAAAATTATTCCTAGCAAAATTTCAGAGGTTATTTCTGAGGAAAAAAGTAGTCATTTGGAAGTATGAATTATTGAATATATACTAAAAAGTCATTAACTCTCCTTTCTAACTCTACCTTAAATTTCTTTAACATTCAGGATAATCCTTGCTGATAGCCTGGCCATATTTCAATATTATCCTCCTAAGATTCCCAGTGACTGATTATATGTGACTTACAGATAGCAAGAATGGAAGACTCTCTCAAAGTTATGGAATATTCAGAAAACTCCTCATTATTCCAGGTCATAAATAGTATTCAAGAAAATGCAAGCTATTCATATTGTAAAATATTATTCATACCATCATATTCATATTAATATCACCACATTCGCTCAAGAACGTCTATTGTGGTGAAAGGATATAAAGATAATATGGTTAATCTTTCACTCAGACAACCACATTGATCAAGTACAGGGAAAGAAAATAATTGTTCAGTCCCTGTTAAAAGCCATGTCTAATACGAGACTGGATTCTTTGTTTAACAAGTGAGAATGCCCATGAAACCAGAGAACCATGAAAGACAGAGAATGTACAATAGTAGAAAGGATGTACAACAATGCCTAAGGAATGCCATCATTCCATTCGATCTGTTTCAGACACCAGCACCATAACTGTGGCTTAATTCAAATAAGGCATCACATCAAACATTGGATGAGAAGTCAAATGAATAGCAACACTAATTCTAAAGCCAGGGCAAGCTTAACCTTCTTGATGAAGCCTAGGTGCCAACAAGGATGGTCAGCTTACCAACGATGATGCCAGGTCTTCTATCCATCTCCACAATGTGAGGGTGGACACCCTTGTAGGCAGCATCACTGACAACCTGGGTGTTCTTCCGCACTCGCTCTGTCACAGGGTCATCTACAACAGGAGTGAAGCCTCTTCCCTTTGTCTTTTCAAAATCTTCGTGATACTTTACCTGAAAAATGAACAATAATATTAACGCAAACTGAAAATTTCTAGGTCTTTTCATGTGCTAAAATGAAGATTTGGGTGAAGATTGCCCAACTCCATACCTCACTTAGAAAATGTGAAAGATGGCATTGCATCAATTTAATGAAGCCAAATGCATCTTTCCCAATGATTCCAAACAGAATGTCAAAAACTTCAGCTTCCTTACATCAAAACTCAAAATGCTGAAATTTTCACAACATTCTTAATCATTATGGCAATTTCCTACACTGCCTAAGTGTCCCTTTTAAATTATATATAGATCTGTAAATCAGTCAGAAGTTTAAAAAAAGATACAATTTTTTAATCCCAGTTACTTCTTAAAACATAATTAACTTTAAATCAATTTCCTTTCTCTGAACCTTTAATAAGCAATAAAATGATAATGACTATAGAATTATTTCAAGAAAAAAGTGTTATTTAATAACTATATTAAGCAAGTCATATATAATCAAATAAGTATACTTCAAAATATACATTTTTCATGATCTGAAATTAGGGTGATGGTTAAACAACTCTAAATACACTAGAAACCTTTGAATTATATACTTTAAATAAGTGAACTTTATGGTAAATACAGTATGTCCTAATAAAGCTGTTAAAAATACATTTTTTATATTCTTTGCAACATACAAACACACCAAGCACCATCTTAAATTTAACTGGGAAGATGTCCACGCAAATGTCTTTCACAACATGCATTCATAGTGGTCATGTTAGAAATAAAAACACACAAAATAATCACTGAGAAAAAAGCTTTTATTTGACTCAGTATTCTCATACAATTCAGCATGATTAGAGAATTCGACCAAAAGGACTGGCCCACCCATGGCTCCTTGTTTTGTTAGTCATCCAGATTAATAGTGATGCTGTGGTACTGGGTCGTGCCATTCCTTAGTATGTTTTAGTCATGAGAAGAATGATCCGGTTGTACCCTACCATTGAAATATGGTTCTGTGCTTCTCTAACATGCCTCAGACCAGGTGTATCTAAAATCAGACTTGGTCTACCTTGTATCCGTTTATGGTCCTGGGTATATTTTACCTGCAAAGTAAATGGTAGAACATAATTATGACAAGACAATGGTAATATAAAACATGGTACAACTTTTCAAGATTTTCAGGAGTAATGGAAGTTTTGGAACATATGCAACACACTTTAAATGATTTCCTGGCTAACTTATTTGGTGAATTCGATTCTGTTCTAGAAATTTAAAAAAAAAAAAAAAAAAGTTGCCCTCTATTTGATTCTGGCTCAAGTTGATCCTGTATGTGTTTCAAAGTAGAACTGTGCTGCATAGAGCTTTCAATGGCTGATTTTTCAGAAGTAGACTGTCATGAATTTCTCCTGGGTAGACCTGAACCTCCAGTTTTTCAGTTCATAACCAAGCACATTAATCACTTATGTTGTTGTTATTGTCAGGTGCCATCGAGTCGGAACCGACTCATAGTGACCCCATGCACAGCAGAAGAAAACAATGTCCAATCCTGGGCCAACCTCACTACTGCTGCCACACTTGACTCCATCAATGATGCCACCTGGCTGATCCACCTCGTTGGGGGTCTTCCTCTTTTTCTCTGACCCTCCATCTTACCCAGCATGACATCCTTCTCCAG